TTCGGTTATCACCGAGACAGACGCTGTCACGTGGTGAGAAAGTCGACGATAAACTCGATTAAAAAATCTCGCTTCTTTTGATCCCTCACCGAAGAGAAGCTTCACAATCTTTCCAGGGTTCTCCGACGAGAGTACGCTACGGTATCGCTAAATCGTGACAATCGATCGGTACAGCTAATTGGTTCCTGCTAACGATTTTGGTTAATCGTCGATTAACAAGGCAAAAGGAAAGGTACGAAAGAGTCGAGCGAATCAATTTCAGCGGGAACTTTCCTCTTCCTTCTCTCATTCTCACGGGAATCGCTACTTACGCTAGACTCTGATATACAATGCATTCTCACTGAGCGTACTTGAACGTTGTAGTAGTGCGACTTTCTGTGAGTGTGTGTTACAGTTGGAAACATCTCGAATTGTGGTAAAATTTGAAATGTAAATCCAATATATCGTTACGAAAGTCACTATTGGGAAAAAGTCACTGGTGGAAAATATATCTTGAAAAATTCTTGATCACATTCCCAAGATGAGAAGTAAAAATACTAGTTACAAAATTCGCAGACTCAGATTTGTGCTGTCTATAAGAAAGCGATCTGGAATTCACAAAGAGAAAAGTAAATGTGAGATAAATTCGCAAATGAACGAGCACGAACGAACATACAGGTATATTCAAGTGTATTACGATTCATTTTCATTGTCATTAGCCATTAGAAATCACTAGACTGTGGTACAATTTACAAGCATAATTCAGAGAATAGTATCTAAATAAAAATTTGTCTCATCTATTAAATAACACAATAAATTTAAATATTTTATGTTGCTGATACTGTTAAATATTTTACGTAGCTTTGCATAATGTATCTGGAAGTTTCTCAAATTCTGCAGTCTAGTGTCAGTGTTAAAACAGTTAGTAACGTCATCAATTCTTTCTCGTGAGAGTCACTGCCTCACTACAATGTCAATCGGTAGTTTCAAAATGTTTCGTATAACACACACACACACACGCACGCACATGTAACATTGTATATACATAAAAATTTTCTATGACGCGCGTTCAAATACGTTCGTGTGAATTCACTGTTTCGACGCGATCCGTCCAATCGATTAACAAGATTCTCTCGGTTAACAGGAGGATCGGATAACATTGCAATTACTTCTATTACCTTGTACTCTTCAATTCGACTTTCGCAGAAGAGAATCTTTCTGCGGTATTCATTTCCTTCTTTCTTTTTTCTCTAAGGTTCTTTCTTTTTTTTCTAAGCAGACTAAACAAGTCTTCGAAGAAGCACTTACTGAAACAACGAAAAATAGGTGTCGATGCTCTAGGAGAGAAGCTTGGAAATTGTTCAAAAATTGTCAAACAATTTGGGTTAAGTTCACAAGTATTAGGACACTTATCGATGAACTAAGAGATAAGCAACAAAACAACTGTCTAAAATAAAATAACACAACACACGCTATTATTGAGTTGTAATAATTACTAACATTGATGTTAGTTGAATGAACTTCTTTTCTTTTTACAAGTAGAAAACTGTGATTAAGATGTTAACATACATCTACAACTGTGATATACATTATCTGTGCATAAGTATTTAGACACTTTTGTAAATGTAATTAAGACCAATTCAATCTCTACAATTTAGGTGTTTGGACATTTCTGAAAATACAATTCAAACGAATCTCTTTAATTTAAATATTTTTTTCTTGTAATTTCTTTCGATGATACGTATCATGTTTTTTTATGTAACCGTACGATCATTATTGAGTGAAGTTTATCTAAGAAATATTGTGAGATAAAACTGATATAATTTAAAAAAGAAATCACATCTTGTATGATATCAAACAAAGACAGTGACTGTCTATTGTATTGATTTTAACACATGCAATTAATAGACACTGATGAAAAAGAATGGCTAATGTTATAATAATTAGATAGCTAAAGACTTTGCAGAGTGACTAAGTATGTTTTTACTGAAATATGTGTTTTTAATCATATTGGAAAAGTTTATACAGATTTTATGAAGCATCAACTATTTATTAGAAGTGAATATGAAACTTGAAAATGCAGAAAAATTAATGGCAGAAGAATGTTTGCCAATAAAAAAATATTTAAATATTCAATTCTTAATGGAATTGCACTGAGTGTCCAAATTATTTATGTACGGTAGTGTTTATCACACCAGTACAGTTATAACAAGTTAAATACTTTGTTTTTAGACGCAGATCATTTGAAAACTTCAGAACAACATTTACGATGGTGAATTACAAGCCTTAACCCAGCCTTTAACCCAGACAATTATCTTATCCTATTTTATATCCCACAGTTCTAAATCAAGAGTTTTCAATGTAATTATTCTTAATAATATTTCAATCGTTCCTAATTTTCGAAAGTGTCCTAATATTATCGTGTAACGATAAGTTGTTCGAGTGACGCGATAAGGAACAACCGAGGCATTCCAACCTCAACGAAACAACGCGATCAGATCGATTATCGTTGGTGGTCGTTTGATTTCTATAAATTTCTAACATTGATACGTCCTCTTTTCGCTGTTTCTCAGCAGAGTCACGGGAGATCAGTTACATTTCCGCTTTCGAACGACGACTTTGAAGATAAGCTTTCTGACACTCGAAGCTCGAATAGAACGCGGCGAATTCGAGGAGAAATAAGATTTTTAATGGATATGAGAATGATACGCACCACACAGGGTGCATCGACGCGAATGTACACACACGCACACGCACAAATGCGATCACAAACAACACGGTTCGCCATTGATACAAATTCAATGCCTGAACATTCACACTCTTCGACTCTCACGTCGAAGATCAATCGCCTTTCGTTTTAATAGAACACATTTCTCGCAGTAGTCTCGAGGGGGACTGCGATAACAATCGTTCGCTTCGACGAATTCCGGGACTCTTTACACAATTCTCTACACAATTCTCTGCGGAGATACTTACAGATACTATAGGTCTATCTACATGATATGAAGCTATCGAAGTGAGTTCCCTTCGTCGCACGAGAACGCCCCTCTCACGCCGTGCAGTCAGACAAAATAATATTCTCTCTTTCTCTCTCTCACTCTTGGTTCTCTGTGTTCGGTCTACGAAACGCGTTTGGGAGGGGGGCCTCGTTGCGACGAAGTTTGCTCGGATGATATCTGAGGACACGCTCCGAATTTGTCCTCTGTACTTTCAGGGCGATCTAAACGCGATCGTGAAAACTATTTATAACCGGTTATAATTTCTCTCTAGCGCGAAGAAGCGTCGACGTTATTTGGTTATTCTCGCAGTTACAAGCGCGACGATGGCACTCGTTTCGCAGCAGAATTTCAATGACATCGAGAACGAGGCTTTTCTTAAAGTCATCGCTCGCCAGAGATGTACACATCGTGTCTTTGTCTCGCCTTAGGTCTCGTGTGAAGAAGGAAGCATTTGGTCAAATCAATCACGCGCGTGTCATGCAAGCATGCCTTTGTTCTCGCGTATTTAACCTCTTGCGCTGGAATGACGTGCCACGCACATCGAGAATGTTTTGTTCCAAAATTGCTATATTTCCACAGTTTTAAATATAACCCAGGCAAAACAAATAATAAATTTATTACTTCTTAGTAATAATTTCTATTCAGCGATATCATACCGACGAGTTCAAAAAGAGAGCGACGAATTATTGTATACGGTTTGGTCACTCGTTATGGTCCGTGAATCAGTTGCCAGCGCAAGAGGTTAAAAGGTAACGCGAATCTAGTGGAACAAACAAATTCTCGTGGAAGGTATACCATTAACTAAAAAAAAAATCGTTTCTCAAACGAATGACTGTTACAAGGTATGTACAAGCGTGTGTAACGTGTCTGTATATGTTAAACGATACTTAGCGAGAAACGCGGTGGAGCATCCGTAACACGTTTTCCATAAAGTCGACTACGAAGCGCCGTTAAACAACAGTAACGTTCGATGTTTAGCCATGTGATGCCTCGAAAAAACAAGGGCAGAGTAGCCTTTTGATTCGTAGCCAACGACGAGAAAAGTCGAGGGAAATTTCGATCGAGATGTGCACCCCCGTCGCGCGAGCATCGATGGAAATTTGGACGAATCTTCGGAAATTATTATTCGAAATTATCAAAATCTTTGCGGGTAACTCTTTCGTTTGAAATAACAATATAATATTATAATTGAATTTCATCAATTTGCCTCTATCCATTTCGACTTCCAATCGCTATCTTCACCAATTTTTACGTTATATCTACACACACACAATCTTAAACAAACATAAAATTCTAACGTCTAATTTAGACGCCAACTGTTTCATTTCGCACGAAACCGACAGATGTCCTAATAGTCACGGAACGGGGAGTGCACGTTTGAATCGGAATTTACAGATCCTTCGTAAAGCCACGCGATGTCTATCGCATAACGAACGACTCTGTCATCTCGAATCCGATCGTCGAATCATCAGTACGTATATATTGCTAATGCGTGCCCTCGCTGAAGCAACGAGGAGCGACATTCTCGTAAAACGTGGAGCAGTGTGTCGCTCGATTGAAGACACGGCTTGACTCAATACACGTGTGTCCACTGTACCAGACATTGCGATAAAATTCCGCTATTAAAATTGACATATAGACGAGTGAATCGTAAGACATCGAAGAGGAGGAATTTGATAAAAAAAAAGCATCTTTGACAGAAAGAGAGAGAGAGAGAGGAGAGAGCAGAGTTGATTCGTTATCCAGGTAGACGACGCGATTCTTCTAGAACAGACCGGCGAAAGGAGGAACCAGAACAATTGGCTCGAGAACAGTTCCCAACGAGGAGAGAATTTCTTCTTTTTTTTTTTTTCTTTTTTTTCCTTTTTTCATTTTAACAGGAGGATTAATAAGGCGAGGCGTGCCGTGAAAAAACTATTATTGGTGCAGGGTCTCGTCAGTCTCGTCCTGGGATACGATACTGGACCGATTCGACCTAACGTCCAGATCGATGCTGAACGGCTTCGTCGAGCTGGTGAACAACGGCTGCGTCGTGTTCTCCTCGATGCTCAGGCTATACTCCAGCGAGCTGTCACTGAAAATACAGAAACAGACCTCTACTCATCACTAGCGTCTTCGACGATTGTTCTACGAGAACAATGCGGCTTTGATCGACGATCGTACCCGGGCGCGTTTACCTGACGATGCTGGCACGATCCATAGACGTCGACGTTGGTACCGTGCAGTTGTCGCCGTTACAAGGCCTCTCCCCGTTGCTGCTGCAAGAAGAGGAGGTCCTCGTCGCGGCTGCTTCTTTCATCGACGCCCGCCGCGATTCCTCATGGCACTCGCACCTGTTTCACGACACGAAGTTGAGGAGTACCCATAGAGGACAGCACCGTACAGTGCCAAACATCAAATTTTTCAGGTTAACATCAGGTAGCAGACTAATCCTCTTTGCTTTTGTTCCTGAATGTTTTTCTTTAATGTATTATTATCTTTAATTTTTTATCTACAATGTATGCATTGATAATACAGTAATGAATAATGAATTTAATGGCACTTGCAATTTTCTACAAGAACTTTTTCATCATCTAACACAGTAAAGTCTATCATATCCAAATATTTAAACGTTTTGTTATCCTGATATTCTATTATGTGAACAGAGAATTTAGTAATAGATATCATTTTTTGTACTGAATTATTTCATATGTGTCATTACATGTTTTTCACAATTACAAATATGAGATACAAGAAGAAAAGACAGTATATAAAATGGAATTTAATGCAAGAAGTTCCACTTAAATTGCATATGACAATGTATTGGACATAGAATTTCCCAATTTTGGCACTTGCAGTGTCTTCTGCAAATACTTTTCAATTTGAAACAATTTTAAACCAGAGTATTTTAATCGAGCGCTTTTGTGTTCATTGTTATTTCAAATATAAAAGCAATATCTCTATTGTAAATGAAATAATCCTAATCCCGTTTGTTCACCAGATGAAATATACCTGCATTCCTCCGGTTGAACGTAGTTGTATCCACCTGATTTCACTTCGTCCTCAGGTCGAGGGATCGTCTGGATCCTTTTCGGCGCTTTCCTCTTCTCCGGTATCTCCTCGAAGTTGATCCAGTTGCTTGGTCTAGCCGTGGCCCTCGGTGGCAGTGGAGGAGGACTCGGCGATTTACCAGCGCTCTTCCGTCCCCCGTCAGGCACCTTGCCAGCGAACTCCATGAACGTGTTCGCCGCGTGTTTCCGCGGACTTTTCAGCTTGAAACTGTCTTCCCGTGGCAACGATATCTTCATCTTCTCAACACGACGCTCGTCGAGGGACGTCTGCATCACAAACTCGTCGAGCAGCGTCGGGTTTATCGGCGTCGTTGAACGCGGCCTCTCGATCGGTATCGTTCTGCGAATGTGAATAATGTTGTTCACTCGAAATTAGGGAAATGAGATTTATTGTTGCACGTGCGATGTGCAGAATAACAGCGGCACAATTCGTGTTATTGATTTTTCGGGGGGGGGGGGGGGGGAATT